AAATCAAGTCGCACATGAATTTACCTGGGTTTGATCTGAGTAAGCAGAAACGTTTTCTTTTACGTCTTTTAATATCTCTATTCATATTCTAATGGGCAGAATCAACTGTAAAAGCTATCATACCACAAGTTGACAAACATGAGCATGTCAAGATTCGTTACAGCGGCAGCTTTGTCTCTATTCTGGGTGTTGCTTTCCCCGGTCTCAGCCGCTACATCAGCACCTTGTGGTTTCTCCAGCGAGTATTTCTATGCCGGTGGGCACTACACCAATATCACCACTGATAACAGCACTGCCCAGTACATGGTTGGGCAGATCTACGTCGAGAAGCTCACCCCGCCGAATGTCACCCAGTCACGCCCAATCATCTTCATCCCGGGTGCTGGACAGACCGGCACTAACTTCTTGCATACGCCCGATGGCCGACCGGGCTGGGCACACATCTTTCTCTCTCACGGATACATTGTCTACTTGACAGACCAAGCTGAACGGGGTCGCAGCCCATGGCTGCCGGGTACAGGCCAAATGGTCACAAACCCGACAGAAACTATCGAGGGTCTTTTCACGGCACCAGAAGATTTTAATCTCTGGCATCAGGCGCAGCTGCACACGCAGTGGCCCGGCACTGGGCGGGTTGGCGACCCGGTCTTTGATGCGTTCTACGCCACACAAGTCCAGCTGCAGAGTGACAGGCCGATTTCTGAGGCGAACAATGCTGCTGCATACACATCGCTGATAGACCTTCTGAATCAGGAAGTCTACCTAATCACCCACAGCCAGGCGGGCGCGTACGGTTGGCGGATTGGAGATGCGCGGCCGGGGCTGGTGAGGAAGATCGTCGCAGTGGAACCGAGCGGTCCACCGTTTGAAAATGTGTACCCGTTTTCCGGCCGGGAAAGGACGTGGGGCATTACGGACTTGGAGGTGCTGTACGAGCCACCTGCAGGACCGAACGCTTCAGATCTGGTCACGGTGACTGTGCCTGCACCGCCTGGGACGGATTTGATAGACTGCATATTACAGGATGATCCGGCAAAGAAAATGGTCAACTTGGCTAACATCTCAGTCTTGGTCATTACTTCTGAGGCGTCTTTCCACGCGCCCTATGACTATTGCACGGTGGAGTACCTTAGGCAAGCGGGGGTCTCAGTAGATTTCTTCGACCTACCAACAATTGGGCTCAAAGGCAATGGGCATATGATGTTCATGGAAAAGAACAGTCTGGAAATAGCCGACAAAATCGCCGAGTGGTTGAAAGAAGCAAGTTGTCCTGGTTAGGAGGATGCGACTACGAGAAGTGGAGATGGCATGAACAAGATCTCTCTTCACGTCATAATCCAGATTCTAACTCAGCTAGTCTCAAATGGAGTGTATCGGTGGGAAGAGGCTTCAAGAGATGGGGGGAAGGGCCAATTGAAGTCTCATTAATTCTAGAGAGCCATGCTTTCGCGCCCGCTTGGTATTTCAGTCTTCGACAATCAAGAGTCGAGTCTAGACCAGATTCATTGAAGAAATTGAATGCAGTGCTGCTGATCTTTGCCTTGACGTCCCAATATGGAGACAATTGCCTGGCGATACCTCCGGACACGTGGAGGACGTGTCTGAGCGCCGCGGGTCCAGTTACCTGATATTGCGATTGTTATGTCCTAGAGTCCAGGAGAGCGGAACGCCGAGTCGCGTCGAGGTTGCCAAGCTGCTGTAAAACCTGCGATCTAGGGCCAGATACAGGCAGATCGACGCTAAACTGTAGCGGCAGACAGTCTCGGGACTCTCCAGGTTGCTAGGATGTGGCGGGCATCATCAACTTCACCTTACATGAAGCTATTGGCGTTCACGTCATTTTGGGAAGGGATCTGCACCTCTCCTAGCCGCTGTCACCGCGAGACGGGACGGTACAGCGAATTAGGGGGTGTGCCAGCGTGTGAGCAACAAGATTTTAGCAAACGACGGCGGCCGAGCACCCCAGCAGCACGGCAGGACTGTGGCTTGCGAGGGCCATATCTAGCGGCGCACCGACGCCCGAGGTGCCGTGTTAGCTAAAGTCGTTACTCGTAGTTATGCTGTCGTCGGCGCCACCAGGATAATGGCTCAAACACGCCCTCAACCCCCGCGGCGTTGAAGTGGAAGTTGGGACGGCATATTCCGGCACACCCTATCAAGTGGTCAAATTGGATTGAGGTGCTTCGGTGAGTGGAATGTGTGAATAGCTGCTGAAAAGTTCTTGACACTGCATGGGCATAATAGTAGATTTGCTGATCCATCACTGCCAGTCGTTCTACTCTACAGAGTCAGAGTTTGTGCTCTAACACCAGAAGACTCGAAATTCCATATATGTCCACCATCACAAATCGATACATTCGCATCCATGACGATAGCTGGTCGCGTAGGGCCCGCCTGCCCGTTAGGTGTCATTCAGACTCATTACGTATAGGTGTGGTGTTGTCTCAACTAGCTGAGCCCTAGAGGACGGACATTTAGGCCATGATCCATGCTGGCAATCATGCAGGGGTGCTGAAGGGCAGAGATTCGCAACCCTGGTTCCCATCGACGCTATTGAAATGACAATACAGGGCATTGACAGCCTTGTGGGTGCCAGTGATCGACAGACAGTGCGTTATCCGAGTGCCGTTCCAGGGTGTCGGGCGCACCAATTCTCTTTCACGGGTAGATGTTATGACAATGAATGACTCGGCAATAGAGAAAGAAAGGGCATTGTGGGATTGTGAAGAGAAGGGGCGGGCGACTTGCTCGTTTGTCCACACAATGTACACGTCCAGTCCTCTGCATTAGTCCTGTTCAGCTAGACCGTTTGTCGGTTATCCCTCGCATCATTCTGTCTCAGACTCTCAGTGGACAGCGGGGCATCTTACCGATGCCGACACCAACGCCTTGGAGTCTGCCAGCAAGTGACAGCCCATTCGCATTGTGGCTTGGTACGCATCGTCACAGCTAATCCCAACAAGATTAGGGCTGTGAAATCGCGTACGCCATAATGCCGTAGCCCAAGCGCCATGACATGCCGGCGTCAATCGCGTGGTGCGACTCATGCAGTCAGTCACGCTTCGCCGGCCGGACACCAAGCACACACCACACCCCAATCCCGCCTTGGGAGGGAGGGAGGGGCGGCAGACTTATTGAAAGGGCTTTTTAAACATACAGTGCAACGCCATTTCTCCTGACATGCACAGATATGAATATCGTGGTCACCCTCTCATGACGACTCGTTTGCGGGCCAACCTGAGGAACCCAACGTCCAACTTAAGCCAGATGAGATGAAGTCATGGCGGTAATACGAGGACGGGATTACTCGTTCCTTCCCACGAGTGATCAGTGGGACCAAATCGACCTCAGTAATCACTCGACAATCGCACCAGCAGTATGGCGGATCAATCTTACATTCATCGTTCTCGTCGGCCTTGTGGTCTCACTAAGGATTTCAACTCGGGCGTTGATGATAAGGCAGCTTTTCCTCGATGACAGTAGGATTAAACCGTCGTGCTCGTATATGATGATCATGCTGATGCTAGATTCAATAGTCTTGATTGTCTTCGCGGCTCTGTTCCAGATGGTAGTCTCCGCAGTGGCACTTGCAGGTACGTTTTGGGTCTCTGGCTCTTCAGATATTAGTATCTAACAGTATATCAAGCAACGAGATTTGGTCTAGGCCAACATATATGGAATCTTCCAATGCCGGTCGAGCACATGTTAGAAATGATCAAGCATTGTGTGCAGGTTCGTCGAACATTCTCCTGTATGCATCCTGTTCTTACCCTTCTAGTTAATGTTTGTTGCCAACGTCTTCTACGCCTGCGCCATTGCTACCACCAAGCTCTCCATCATCGCTTCGTACCTTCGCATATTCCCGAACTCAGGCCTTCGAAAGTTCATGTACGTGACTGGGGTGTTTATCATCGGGCTCTGGATAAGCGCAATCTTCGCAACTGTTTTTCAATGTCGACCGATCAACGCAGCATGGGACTTCACGATCGAGGGGAAATGCTACTCATTCGTCAACTTCCTGTACGCAAGTGCAGGGGTCAATATCGCCACGGACCTGATAGTGTGCTTGGCCCCAATCCCCTACTTCTGGAAGCTCAATCTTCCTGTCAGGCATAAGATGATTGTCAGCTTCTTGTTCCTCGTTGGACTATTGTATGTGTCCCATCCAGGGAAATTCTCAAATCATGACTGACCCCATCTCAGCGCCTGTGTCGCTAGTATGATCCGCCTATCTTATCTACCCATGCTCAAGGGGCTTGATGTCACCTGTAAGTTCCCCCGAACTCTACCCTAAGAAACCAGCCTAACGTCGTTCAGACGCCTTGGTCACTTCCCTCAACTGGTCCGTCATCGAGTGTTCTCTCGGAATAATATGCGTCTCGGTGCCACCGCTGAGGCCCTTGTTCGCAAAGCTGGTCCCGAACTTCCTCAGAAGTCAAACATCACGACACAGTAGGACAACAAACATCAATAGGGGCTTGGGAGCAACTGCACTGACCCAAGAGCAGCGGTCCAAGGAGATGGACAGGCACATCATGGATTACGAGAGCTTGGGTAGCGACAATGGCAAGTCTCACTTGCGAAATCTGGAAGAAATTTCTGTTACTGGGTCTGGGTCTATCATTGAATTATCGCCCGTGCGACCGGATACAAGTGGGGTTTAAACGGTAACGGTAACGGTGTTCATGGGATTAATGGATCAAGGGTGCATAGATAGGCGCACGGAAAGCAATTTCAAAGGTAACTTCACTTTCTCGTTTATGAGTTGCAGCTTCTTGTGTAATACCATGTGCACGGAAGAAACGCCGAAATGGTGATGTAATGGTCTACATGACTTCACAATCATGACATTGCTCACAACTTCTGGGCAAATTAAAGTGTTCATTAAGTTTATCTATCCATGCTCAAGGAGGTAAACAGGTTTGGTCAAGAAGCGCCGCCATACTAAGAGAATCCAACGCGGATACCGATGCGACAGTGAAATACAACTGCTAGCCATTCTAAGCGTACAGCATCGGATAAGCCGCCTTGATCATGTCGGCACCCTGAATACGTTGTTAGCCTGGCCGATCATTCCAGTAAAGATCATAGCTTGCTTACCTTCTCAGCAATCATGTATACTGAGTTCTGAATACGGCAGTCGGGAATGACCGGGATGACTGAAGCATCGATGACACGAAGGTTGTCGACGCCAAACACCTTGAGCTTCGAGTCAACTCCACCCTGCTTAATATCCTTGCCCATCCGAATGGTGCCGCAAGGATCTGTAATATCAATTAGCCATGTATTTGGAGAATTCTTAGTTCGAATAGTGTGCTTACGGAAGCCAGTCTGCGATCGCTCCTTGATCATAATCTCCATAGCCTCATCCGAGTGTCTAGGCATCGCCCAAGGATAGTCTTCGACTAAGATATCCTTCATTCCTTCGCCATTCATAAGAATATCATCAACGAAGCGAACGCCCTCTCTCATAGCAATGAGATCAAGGTCGTTGGAGAAGAAGTTGATATTGACCTTTGGCTGTTCCAGTGGGTTGGTAGAGTTCAGAGTCACAGTACCATTCTGAGAAAGAGGTCGCAGGAGGTCAACGATAACGGTCAGGTAATCTCCACGGGGAGGGGTGGGGATGTGCCATTGGAAGGCATCCGAAAACATTGGCACGAAATCGATCTCGAAATGAGGCTGGCCGCCTGGGCCAAAGGGGTCTACGTCTCCGTTGGCCTTCTTATAGGCAACGTACTCGGGGTTCTTCTCAAGAAGCTTGTCTATGCGAGGGAGACCGACAAGTTCCAGAAGACCGCTGGTGAGAGGACCCTTGTTCTTCCAGCGGTAAGCTGACAGGGCAGCATCTTTTTCCAGACCATTTCGGAGAAGGTGGTTGTCAAGACCAAATCCGTCCTTCATCTTAAACACATGAGGTAGGATTGGATGGTCAAGAAGATTCTGGCCAACGTTCTCTGACTTGACAACTGAGCTGATTCCGAACTTCTTCAGTTCAGCATCCGGTCCAATCCCGGAAAGCATCAGAAGTTTGGGTGACTCGAAAACACCAAGAGATACGACGACCTCGTATTTGGCACGAAAGGAATAAGTCCTCTCATCGGGACCAATAACCTCAAGGCCCACAGCCTTCCCATTCTCGATGATGAGCTTCTTCGCGTTTGTCTTAGACATAACCACGACGTTCTTCTTGCCAGTCAGATACATCCAACTGGAAGATCGCTTGCCATTGTAAATACTGTTAGTGCACTTCCAGAGGCCTCTCATGGTACCATTATGCACATCGTCAGTGAGCTCTTCGCCTTTGCTGACCCAAGCCTTGGTGAGAGCGTTGCGGAATGGCTCGACTTCTGGGATGAGGTCGGAGTGGGAGACTGGAATCGGGCCTCCCTGGCCGATATACTTGAGTTCCGGGCTAAATTGACTGCGATCGTCATGGTAAGTAGCAGGCTATTCCCTCTATTAGTCATGATAGCCATAATGTACTGGAAACAGCGAAGCCTCCTTGCCTTGTAAAGATATTCCTTGCAACTCTTCCAGGTCCATTCCTCGCCGCCATATGGTGCCCAGTCATCAAAGGTCGCAGCACTTCCAGGAATCCAAGTGTAATAGTTCAGACAAGAGCTGCCTCCCAGAACCTTTCCACGAGTATTGGGCTTCTCGATACGAGTGTACTCAGGGCGATCGATCATGCCTGTCTTATAAGACCAGTCATACTTGCTGTTCCTCAATTCGAAGGCACGAGCTGGGGTTGTGATGGCATCAACATCGCCTGGGTTATCGATGCCAGCCTCGATGATGAGAACTGAGACTTTGGGGTTCTCGGCCAAACGACCTGCAACAGCGCATCCTGCAGTACCGCCTATGACTTTGTTAGTAATAGTCATTCAGTGAAGGAGAGAGGCAACATCTGCGAAACCCATACCTCCGACGACAATGAAGTCAAATGCTTTGGGAGCTTCGCTGATGAGAGTCATTTTGATAGTCGTGATTGCAGATTGGAGTTGAGAGTCAGAATATTGACCAAAATATTGAAGACTTATACTTTTTATGTGTCTTGGTATAGGATGCTTTGTCTTGCTCTGAGGAGTGAGGGTGATGATTTAAACAGAATTTCACAGCGCATCTCTCGTGATATATATACATGTCTACACCATTGAAAGGCCCGTATTCCCCTTGAGCCAATGCATTGTTTCTTTCCGAAGCACAACAGGACGACAGCACTGCGTTGATGGCTCTCAGTAAGGCACGCTCTAGGTCGTCCATGAAATTGACGTATGAAGTGACCAATGAGATTGTTGGAAGTTTGCAAGGCAATGGTACTTCGGAATGCCGTGTAAGCCGATGCTACCGGCTCCGAGAAGTAAGCCCCTGCTCGGCATTCGGGGTCCCACTGTGAGTTAATGTCGAACACAAGAAAAATGCGATTCGCTATTCGGCGACTTCTCAGCTGTCTGTTATCTACAACCCGAGAAACCGTTTCGAGTTCATCAATCCATCATATTTGTTTCTCACGATTGAAATTTTGGTGCATCATCAAGTTTGTCCACATTGCCTCTTTAGGTACAATCGGGCATGCCGCAATCCATTCGGATAGCCTATTCACCGAGACTGAAGCGACAAGCACTAACACGCTTAGACTGGCCAACACAGAGTGTCTTAATCAGCCAGACATGTCGTGTATCCGCAATGCATCGCTATGCAAGGCCCTGGCTGCTTTGAATGAGTTGCTCAAGTTCAGTTGGATGAATCATTTTCAACCAGGTAGTACGAGGTTCCAAATACCAAGATTTGCCGCATTCGCGGAGATTCAGCATTATTACATAGCACCATAGAAGAACTGATTTGAGATATATATACCAGAATGAAAGACCTTTTCATTCAATATTCGAACTTATTCTAGGTGATAATCCTAATTACGAGTGTTTCCGAACCCTAAAGCCTGCAAACGTTGGAGGAAGACACCATGGCCACGTCCGCATCAACTATTCCAACGTACACTCTCGCTGAAGGCGAGGCATTCATTCCACTCTTCGCAAGTTAATCATGCTTAGTCTAATTGGCTGCCAGGTTGTCCTTATGCGGATGCTACGACGGCCCAGCGGTTTAGCGATGGTAGCCCTATCAAAGGTCTCATGCTCCTCCAGGACACACAACTCATCGAAGCCCTTGCACACTTCAGCCGCGAACGAATTCCGGCAAGAGTGGTCCATGCCCATGCAGTCGGGGCTTGGGGAGAATTTGAAGTCACACACGATGTATCTCATTTGACAGACGCCAACTTTTTGAATGGCATCGGCAAGAAGTGCAAAACGTTGATGCGAGTTTCGACAGTCGGTTCAGGTGCTGGCTCATCAGACACGCTAAGAGATGTCAGGGGATGGGCGCTGAAGCTTTTCACGGAAGAGGGCAATCAAGATTTCGTGTTTAATGACATTGTACGTTTTGCAAGGAATGCCTGTCTCGGAATCGATGCTAATCCAACACAGCCCGTATTCTTTATAAGGGACTCCATCAAATTCCCTAGTCTCAACAGGTCCCATAAGCGACATCCTGCAACGAACATTACCGATAACACTATGGTATGTAATGGCGCTGACACATACTTGGAGTATATGAGCTAAAACGAGAAATAGTTCTGGGAGTATGGCCTCTGCTCCTCTTCATGAGTCATGACATTAACAACGACCAGCTTTCATAATGGGAATCAAGAAGGGATTCATGCTCTGATGCTGCTTTTCTCCGATAGAGGAACACCCAAATCCGTTCGACACGTCAATGGCTACAGCGGGCACACTTATAAACTGACAAAGGCAGATGGCTCATTCCACTACATCAAGCTCCACTTCAAAGCAGACCAAGGCAATGACACTCTTACCGATGCCGAGGCAACGAAGCTTGCAGGGGAGGATCCCGATAATCATACTGAAGACCTATGGAACGCTATCGCGACCGGCAACTATCCATCATGGACACTGTACTTCCAGGTCATGACGCCAGAGCAGGCTGAGAAATATCATTGGAACATTTTTGATATGACCAAAGTCTGGCCACATTCCGATTTCCCCCTAGTTCCAGTCGGCAAGCTTACAATGAATCAAAATGTGAGTCTTTTATCCTCTTACACCCTTCAATTCTGAGTCTAACATTGAATCTCACGAATAGCCTTCAAACTACTTTACAGATGTTGAGCAAGCCGCCTTTTCGCCCTCAACGATGGTCGCCGGTATTGCTCCATCCGCAGACCCAAGTAAGCTCACAATCCGACATTTATCAGATCATAGTACTGACAAAAGCCTAATGCAGTGCTTCAAGCCCGTATGTTTGCTTATCCTGACGCCGCCCGTTATCGGCTGGGTGCCAACTATCAGCAACTGCCTTGCAATCGGCCTGTAAGCGAGGTGTACAGTCCCTACCAACGGGACGGGTTTATGAATACCACGAACAACTACGGTAGTGATCCAAACTATGTTCGCTCAGCTTTGCGGCCCGTCAATTTTAGCGGCAGCAAGTACAGTATGATTAGATTTGCAGTCGGAGAACATCAGCAGTGGGTATCAGGTGCAATCGCCGGTTATACATCTGAGGTCATCGATGAGGACTTCGAGCAGGCCCGTATGTTCTGGGATGTGCTTGCTAGACAACCTGGGCAGCAGGATAACCTAGCCCTCAATGTTGCAGCGCACTTAGGAAAGGCGTTGCCCGAGGTGCAGAAGGAAACCATCAGTAAGCAAAACACTTAGCCCCGAGTCTCGCTCGGAGAGTAACGCACTGCTAACGATTCGCTGCAGAGATGTTCGCCCGTGTCAACTTGGAACTGGCAAATCGTGTCAAGACAGCTCTGAATTAAATTTACTGGTGTCACACCTGGGCCGGGAATAGGCTAGATTACTGCGACAACTACTAGTTCATGCTCTTTGGCCAATTAAGCTGCATTAAGTTTCCCTTGGCATTTGTGCAAAAGCTTGGTTCCATTGATCGTAGCCAAAGATCTGGAGGTATTTATGTAAGCCACGCACATGTATTTAAATTAGATTGAAACAAACAAACATGATCAAGCTTTTCAGACCGCTGCAGCTTTAGCGACATCGGGCTCGAATCCAAGTGCCGATAGACAGTATTTGTATAGCTCTAGGGAACAATAGATTTGCTGTACAACCTCTCGTACAGTACTCTCTAGGATAAGTCAGGGTGAGGACAATTCTGTAAAGGATGCCTACAAGGGTGATGGAGGTGAGAGGGGGTGATAAACAGATAGCCCTTCCTACTTGGTTGTACTACCAAGTTGAACTTCCTAAGCCTGTATCAAGTACTACAATTTTATACTTTGTACCTAGTTTCTCCGTTCAAAACCTCTAGATTACCATTCTATTCGCAAGCTTGGATGCTTACTTTGTGCAGCCAAACTGGTCATCGATATCGAAGCCGCATTGGTCTCGCCTTTACACGACCACGCTGTCACGCGACCATCTTGATAGTTCAAACAATAGCATACGTGACTAGATTGGTGCGGACTTCGGCTGCATACATACATAAACACATTGTGTAATGAACAGCGCATCATAACGAAACATTATGAAATGAATCGTTAAACTCGACATGTGAAGCTAGTATTGACAGACATGGCATATGCACAACTCGGGCATAATGCCGAGGTAGTAGTCTGAGCAAGAGCCATGGCAGGAAAATTACTATCGCGCCAGTAGTTGAAGTCGAGACAGCCGGTCTCTCACACTAGCCGCTCCCAGATGGTTGCTTGCAAAAGATGACGAAATGTTTTAGAAAACAATATTTTATGTAGGTAAGCGACCGGCCAAAGCAGCAAATTTAAATCCAATTCCGATCGCAAGTCAACTGTCATTCGCGTCTAGTGGAAGGATCTGCAGGCGGTTAGACCGTTTTCACGCGGAGATCGCGAGGAGCTAGACTCAATAGTCTGCTCAGTTGGCCACGGGCGATTTTAGCTTTGAACATCACCATTGATCCCACCATAGCCTCTCTCCTATTCCTAGTTAGTATGAATAATTTGACAGAGAGGCAAACACATAGTATAATACCATGACTAAAGCTTGTAGGCTTCAAGGACTTCCCATCTGATATGCTTTCTCGTCGCTCGTCACACCTATTCGAGGACAAGGTTGAGCACACGACTTTGAGCCTCCTATCACTCGTTTCTCCGGTCAACGCTTACTTGCTCTTGAGTAGCAACTTCGTAGATTGGATTGGAAGATGGCCGGCCTCAAGGTCTTTGGTGCCTTTGCGGCTCTTGTCCAGATCGCCCTTTCTCATCCTGCATCAAAACCATGTACCACTTCGAGCATATCTCCCTCCCAGGTAAGTTTGGGACAAATTTTCAATCCATGATCGAACGGTT